ATGGACCCATCCTCGGTGTAGCTTTCTTGTTTCATTTGCCCCCAAATGGGCGGCTACCGGCAGGGGGCGCGGCAGGCAGGGATGTCAGACCCTGACACTCTAGCCACTTCTCCCTTCCTTTAAATGCTTCCTCCTTACCGCATTGCAAAGTTCAAAGTGACTGCGTTTAGGGTAGGGGTGCATTGAGTCTTTAATGTGGGTTGTGTAGTTGAACCACCGAAAACCTTTCTAGGTTTTGCCCTATGCTTTGCCAGGACTATAGCCCTTATCCCTCTAGGAGAGAACTTTCTCCACCCTCTTTGAATTAAGGACTTTTCGTCCGCTTGAAGGTGGGGGACGGGAGAGGAGGTAATTCAAGATCACACAAGAAAAAAGTCACTTATTAGATTGTTTTGGGAGATGAGGAAGAAGGTTATAAAAGTTTGAAGTCACTTATTTCAAATTAAGCACATAGAGTTATGTTAAAGAATCACGGAACTATTTGAAATTGTACTTTTTCTGGTTGAGGAGGGAGATGAAAGAGAAGAAAGTAAATCCCAGATGCGGAGGGAAAAAAGAAAGGCAAAGAGGGACAGAAGAGAGGCAGAGGCTTATTACCCTTAGCTTAGAGGTAGACTTTCTAGAAGGATTTTGAGGTTTAGCTCGGCTAATGTCCCACTTGGACACTAAGTTTAATAATCCCATCTCTCATCACTGCCCTTTGAAATATTGATTAGCCATTCAGCCTAGCGTCTCAGAATGCTGCAGGTATCCTGGTGTCCACCCAGTGGAATAGCCACAAGCACACAAGAGGAGACCCTAACCTAGGTGGCGGACAGCAGCTCTGCCCTGTGTTGTGACCTTCCAGCTCAGAGATGCCCATGCCTGCCAGATACAGAAGCTTAAGCACGCGAACTGCTTCTCAGTTTCCTTATGGAAGTCCTCTATCTTCGTCTGATACAATAAATACCATAGGCCACTCACCAGCTCTGGCTACAACACTTCACACCTTGCCGTCCTCACCACCTTCCTTCCCCCTCAACAACTAGTACAATGTATTGGCTTCGCTGTCACTGGGCAAGTCACCTGCATGGTATAACCAAGTTTTCTCAATTCTTTGGCTTCCCTTTGGCTACTCTTGACTCCCCATGCAGCTAATGGTTAGCTACTTTAATACTGTGATTATCAACACCTTCACCCTCTTACCATTCCCAAGCAGACCTCACCTGGGAAGTTGTTAGAAACGCAGAATCATGGACTCTCCTTTGGACCTTCTGAATCAGAATCTGCACATTAGCACTCCCCCACCCCATCCCACCCCCTGCCCCAGTGATTCCCGTATCACATGAAAGTTTCAGAAGCACCTGGCCTCCCTGGCTCTCACACTTTTCATGCCAGATTGTCACCTGCCACCAACCACACTCCACACTTCAATCATCTGGAGACTCAGGGCTCCTTCATAATCCTTGTATTCATTTTTTTTTTAAATTTAGTACACTCCAAGAATGGCTCTTCAATCCCCCTCTCCACTCTTCAGCTCCTCACTCCTGTTTTTTTTCTCCTCCTATTCCTATCCTCTCTCTCTCTGCCTTAACTTTGCAGAGATCGGATGATCTTGCTGTGCTCACGTGTGTTTCCTTCTATGCTTCAGTGTATTGCTGGTCTTCTGCATCCTCTATTCTTTTCTCAGGTCCAGGTGAACTCATACCTTCCTTCCTTCCTTCTTTCTTTCTTTCTTTTTTTTTTTAAGATTTTATTTATTTATTTGACGGAGAGAGAGAGATCACAAGTAGACAAAGAGGCAGGCAGAGGGAGAGGGGAGAAGAAGTCTTCCTGCTGAGCAGAGAGCCCGATGTGGGGCTCGATCCCAGGACCCTGAGACTATGACCTGAGCCGAAGGCAAAGGCTTAACCCACTGAGCCACCCAGGCGCCCCATCTTCCTTATTTCTAAGGCAGTTCTTCTACCTGTGCCTTTTGCACATTTTCCTATTTCCTGTCCTACAGGGTTTTGCTGTCTTACTGGTCTTGTCTCCCGAGAAACAGGTACGTTGTTTCCTCAAAGCCTTTTCTTTTGGATGCAAATGTGCAGAGCTCTTCTTTTAAGAAAATCACACGTTCACATTCACTTGTTCCTACTCCCTTCTGGTTTGTGTTCTGTTTCTCCTTTTTCAGAATCCGATTTTTCCAACAAATGGTATAGAACAGTGGTTTATAATTGGGGCAGTTTTGTCTCCATCCCCCCATCCCTTCTGCGGACGTTTGGCAATGTCTGGAAACTTGTTTGGTTGCTGCAACTGGGGGAGTTGCTACCGGCATCTAGAAGTGGCAGAGACCAAGAACCCTACTAAACACGCTGCAATGCACAAGACGGCTCTGCACAACAAAGAATTATCTGGCTTGGCAGACCATCTTGGTTTGCCTTTGATTTTTTTTGGTTATCACATGGAAAATCCTATGTCCCAGGGAACCCTTCAGTCCTGGGCATACTGAGATGACTGGTCACCTTATATCTGGCCCCCAACGTCAGAAGTGCCAAAGTTAAGAAGCCTTGCTCTGGAAGGAGGATCCATTAACCTTACCTTTTTCCTCACTTAACTCCCTTCCCTTCAGCCTGACATTTAGTTTCTGTGTTCTTTTCTATGACAACAGTTCTCTTGAAAGACACCAGTGGTCACCTTTCAGTCAAGAAAGACAATGACTGGGGCGCCTGGGTGGCTCAGTGGGTTAAAGCCTCTGCCTTTGGCTCAGGTCATGATCCCAGGGTCCTGGGATTGAGTCCCTATCGGGCTCCCTGCTCAGTAGGGAGCCTGCTTCTCCCTCTGTCTGTCACTCTCCCTGCTTGTGCTCTCTCTCTCTCTCTCTCTCTGTCTGACAAATAAAATCTTAAAAAAAAAAAAATACAATGGCCCTTTTTCCTCCTCCCTCAACCTTTCTGATCCCTTTCAGGCATTTTGACACTGTTGCTTTACTGTCATTTCAGAGCCTCTTTTTCTCACACTTTTGGTTCTCTCCCTCTTACACCCATTATTGGGCCTTCTTGCTTTTGTGGGTCCCTATTTCTACTATTTCTTAGCTCTAGGTAGCCTCACAGTTCGGTGTTTCTTGGCTGTCTTCCTATTTCTCCTACTGAAGAACTTATGCCCTCCTCAGATTCAGATCTTCTCTGTTTTAGTTGATTCCCAAATCTCTTTCCTGTGTCCTAGTCTTTCATTTCCAAGTAATTGAGTGATTCCCTTGGATGCTCAGCAGAATCTAAAACTCTAACATGAGTAACAGCAGGTTAAGAACATTTATTTAAGATGTTGGCAAGGAGGAGGCACCTGGGGGGCTCAGTCCTTAAGCATCTGCCTTCGGCTCAAGTCCAGATCCCAGAGTTCTGGGATCTAGTCTCATGTCAGGCTCCCTGCTCAGTGGGAAGCCTGCTTCTCCCTCTCCCACTTCCCCTGCTTGTGTTCCCTCTCTCCTGTCACTCTGTCAAATAAATAAAAATCTTAAAAAAAAAAAAAAGACATTGGCAAGGAGGAAAGGCAATACAGTCTAGCTTACATTTCTGATCCGTCTTCAACTTTGGTGTGATAATAACTCTTAACCTCTATACAACCAGGATAACTCTATTCGTGCTTTTATATACCTTGTGTTTTCCTCTTTCCATGGTTTTGCTCTGTGTCTTCGTGTTTTGGAAAATTTTTTTGACTTTTCCTTCTTCAAATCTTCGTAATCATTCCAACCAGGAAAATGTGGAATGGGGCACCTGGGTGACTCAGTGGGTTAAGCCTCTGCCTTCAGCTCAGGTCATGATCTCAGGGTCCTGGGATTGAGCCCCTCATTGGGCTCTCCGCTCAGCAGGGAGCCTGCTTCTCCCTCTTTCTCTCTCTACCTGCCTCTCTGCCTGCTTGTGATCTTTGTCAAATAAATAAAATCTTTTAAAAAATATGGAATGATGAAAATGCTGGATTAGGAGTCAGAAGACCTGTTTTTGTCACTTCACTTGCTTTCTGACCTTGGGACAATTACTTGAGCTTTCTATGGATTGTGTGTGTGTGTGTGTGTATGTATGTGTATATATATGTGTATATGTATATATGTATGTATGTATATATGTATATATGTATACATATATGTGTGTGTGTGTGTTTTAAGATTTTATTTATTTGACAGAGAGAGGGACAGCAAGAGAGGGAACACAAGCAGGGGGAGTAGGAAAGGGAGAGAGGGAGTAGCAGGCTTCCTGCTGAGCAAGGAGCCCGATACAGGGCTCCATCCCAGGACCCCGGGACCATGACCTGAGCCAAAGGCACCCACTTAACCGACCAAGTCACCCAGGCACCCCTATGGCTTTCTATATTTTAAGTAAAGAAATGAGAATTCCATCCCTGCCTGCCTCACCCAGGCACCCCTATGGCTTTCTATATATATATTTTTTTAAGATTTTATTTATTTATTTGACAGAGATCACAAGTAGGCAGAGAGGCAGGCAGAGAGAGAGGAAGGGAAGCAGGCTCCCTGCTGAGCAGAGAGCCCGACGCGACGCGGGGCTCAATCCCAGGACCCTGGGATCATGACCCGAGCCGAAGGCAGAGGCTTTAACCCACTGAGCCACCCAGGCACCCCGGCTTTCTATATTTTAAGTAAAGAAATGAGAATTCCATCCCTCCCTGCCTCAGAAATCTAATATGATTTTTAAAAAGTGCTTCGAAATGTATGAATTACCATGTAAGCATTGTCTGACCTAAAGTCTGATAGCACTTTGTCACTTTCATCTGGAAACTTACTATCTCTTGCATGTAAAGTACTGACAAATTCTACAAACTTCTTAAAAACTAGGGGGCCCCGAATGTAAGCCTTTTTCTTCTATGCTTTCTACCATTGTTCCTGTTACCAGATTGGGAGGAAGAACTGATGAGAAAAATAGCAATTCCACATGCCATTCAGTTTTTATTGTTGGTTCACTAATCCCAAATAGTTTTTACTATAAATGTTATCACCTTTCCTTTTTTTTTTTTTTTAACCTCCAATTTAGGTGATGTCTTCCCCGTACAAATGAATCCAATAGCTCAATCTCAGTTTGTACCTTTGGCTGAAGTTCTTTGCTGTGCTGTGTCTGATATGAATGCTGCCCAGACCGTGGTGACCCAGGAATCCCTGTTGGAGCATCTGAAGCAACACTACCCAGGTAGCGTGACCAGTTTTCTCTATTAGTTCCTGGCCTGCTTTCTGTTTATAAATCCTCTTAAATAAACTGGGAGAGATCCACTTTTTTTTTTCTTTCTAATGTAGAACCTTATATTAGAGCCCTGCTGGGAGAAGGCCTGCATCAATGAATTTGATAAGGGCATTTCTTTTACTTTCCAGATGAACTTTTGCAAAAACAATGCTTATGGCCATAAACAAACCATACCGTAGAAAGGAGTACAAAGCAAAAAAAGAAAAAAAATTCCTCTTCTCCCCCACCATCCCATTCTTCCACTGCCAATTCCCAGAGGTGACAGGTTCTACTGTTTTATCTTTTCCTGCATATACTTTCCTAAAAGATATTTGAGCATATGTATTTTTTTTTTTTTACTAACATACATTGGAACCTTCTTTACATTCTGTCTGTACCTTGCCTAAGTTAAAAAAATATTTTGGTGGGGGCCCCTGGGTGCCTAGTTGCTTAAGCGTCCAACTCTTGATTTTGGCTGAGGTCATGATCTCAGGGTCGAAAGATGGAGCCCTGAGTTGAGCCCGGCCTCAGGCTCCAAGCACTGTGAGGGGATCTACTTGAGATTTTCTCTCTCTCCCTCCACTCCTCCCACCCACCTCGTGCACACGCACTTTCTCTCAAATAAATAAATCTTTTTAAAAATTAACATATAACATATTTGCCCCAGGGGTACAGGCCTGTGAATCATCAGGCTTACACAATTCACAGCACTCACCATAGCACATACCCTCCCCAATGTCCATAAACCAGCCATCCTATCCTTCCCACCCCATCCCCCAGCAACCCTCAGTTTGTTTCCTGAGATTAAGAGTCTCTTATGGTTTGTCTCCTTCCCCAGTCCTATCTTGTTTCATTTTTTCCCTCCCTATCCCCAGGCCCAATAAATAAATTTTTTTTTAAGATTTTATTTATTTATCTGACAGAGAGATCACAAGTAGGCAGAGAGGCAGGCAGAGAGACAGGGGGAAGCAGGCTCCCCGCCAAGCAGAGAGCCCAATGCGGGGCTCCTTCCCAGGACCATGAGATCAGGACCTGGGCCAAAGGCAGAGGCTCAACCCACTGAGCAACCTAAGGTGCCCCCCAATAAATAAATCTTTAAAAAAAACTTTGGAGATCTTTCTGTATTATATACTGATTTATTTCCATCTTCTCACAGCTGTATGATATCCAAAATGCATGGATGTAGAAGAGTATTTTTAATTTTCCCATTATAAAATTGATATGCTTATTATAGAAAAATCAAGAAAATGTACAATAGTAACCACTTATAGTACCACAACCCAAAGGAAATGTTGATATATTGAAGTATTTTCTTCTGGTGTTATACAAACATGTTTTACAATGTAAATACAATTTCGAACCCTGCTATTTGGGACTGACGTGCTGTGTACTGCGCTAAGGAGGTAACTTTGAACCCTGCTATTTGGAAAAGGGAATTTCTTTTAAAATTGCTACCTTCCTACTTTTAAAAACTATCATAATACAGATATTAAGTAGTTTGCCCCCATCCTGGCATAGACTGCTTTTCATTTTCTCTTTAGATTCTTAACATTTAAGCAATGAAGCTGTGATTTTCAAAAACTCCTGTGTTTGCTTCCAAGAATGCTGTCTTGAAGTCAAAATTTAAATTCATGATGGGGTTGTGTAACTTGCTGTGTGTATTCGAGAGGACTCAGATCTTTTTTCTCTACTTAACCATTAAGTTAGCCCTGTCTTTGTGTGGACCAAATTATATTCCCGTTACTCAGTTAAATTGTGACTATTATGAATGCTTCTTCGCAATGCAATTACATTTATTAATTGTGTTACAGTTAGCTGTGGGTTCATCAAGCACATGTATGGTCATTTCTGCGTTACTGATTTCACTCAGTAAGATATTTTTTAATGCCAAATATAACGAAATGCTTGTTTGTTTTAGGCATTGCAATTCCATCTCAGGATATTCTCTATACCACCTTGGGAACCCTGATTAAAGAAAGGAAAATTTATCACACTGGAGAGGGATACTTCATAGTCACTCCTCAGACTTACTTCATCACAAATACACCCCCCGACAAAAATAACAGAGACCTATCCGATGAAAGTCAGCGGCCGACTTGCATTACCTATCTGGTGGGCGTGGCCAGCTGTGCAGAATCAGCCAAAGAAAATGCTGCCCCCATTTCCCATTGTCAGTCTTGCAGGTGTTTCCCTGATCCCTGCGCTCAGGATGTAGAGGCAACACCGGCGGCTGCAGAAAGGGCTAGAAATGGCCAGAAAGGTCTTCAGGAAACCAGACCTTTGGTACAGAATCGAGCAGTTTCAGTGTCTGGGGTTAATATCATCAGTGAAAGCGCCAAACCGTTACCAGACACAAAAGACAGAGAAAAAGGCAAGAAGTTTGGCTTCAGCCTCTTCTGGCGTAGTATATCCAGGAAGGAGAAGTCCAGAACAGAACACAGCAGTTTCTCTGCCCAGTTCCCACCAGAAGAATGGCCTGTTCGAGATGAAGATAACTTGGACAATATCCCTCGAGACGTCGAACATGAGATTATCAGACGAATTAATCCCATTCTGACCGTTGACAACTTAATCAAACATACAGTCTTAATGGAAAAATACGAAGAACAGAAACAATATAATAGCCAGGGCACTTCCACTGATAGGCTGACCATGAGGCATAAATATCCTTCAAAAGAGGGACTTAGGAAAAGGCGGGGCCGGTGTGGGAAGCCTCGAAGGCGGGGCCATTCTCAGAGGAATAGGCACAGAGCGGGGAGCCAGGGAAGCGAGCCTCAGCCAGGAAGCAACAAACTGGAGAAACATCCCAAGATCCCTGCTGCACAGTCCAGCCCCAAAATTAGCCCAAATGAAGCAGGAGTTCAGACACCACCTGCTGAGAATTTATCAGCGCTGGGTTCCCATTTGATTTACAAGAAGAGAATCAGTAATCCTTTCCAGGGCTTTTCTCACCGAGGGAGTCCAACGACCAAAGTGCACAACATCCAGACCAGTGATCTGAAACCCCGTCAGGCTGGACCAAAGGGAAAACCTTTCCAAAGGTCAAGGTCTTTGGATTCCTCAAGAATCTTGAGGAGTGAAACCAAGCAGCCTCTTGCTGAACAATGTGAAGATAAACCGATGGCAGAATCCATCTGTATGAGTAACCCGACCGTCAAACCTCTCTGCGATGACTTCAGAGGTCCCCTCTTAAATTACGGTCAGTGTAGCGTTTTGCAAAATGGCGGTGAATGTTGTTCCTTCCGGGAAAGCATGTTGAGATATGATGTATACGGTGGAAAAGACGAGGTAATCCCTGAAGTCTGGAGGAAAAGTTATTCTCACTTGGACGCATTAGGGGAGGCCGAAGAAATACAGCATGTCCTGCCATCACAAGGTTCCTCTTTAGGCCATGCCTCCCCTGCTTGTAGATTGGTTGATAAAACAATACACCAGTTCCAAAATCTTGGTCTTTTGGATTACCCAGTTCATACGAACTCTTTGAGACAACCTGAGAGTCAAGACAGAGACTTAGAAGAAATAGCAATGAGAAAGACATTTGTCCAGGAAGTGGAGACTGTGGGTCTAGAAGATGAAGGGCTTTCTGATGATAACCAGGCCTTGGATCAGAATGAACTAGATAACGATGATGGTGCCTGTAGTTCATTATATCTAGATGAGGAGGACTTTTCCGAGACCAACGACGTAGGTGAAATGCTGCCTGACCACGTTCAGTGTTCCTTTGCAGGGAGAAGCAAGTGTAATCATTTGGGAAGACAAAAAGTGACTGAGAGATCTCTGACTGAGTACAGCAGCAAAATACACAGGTCTGAGCCTCAGGTGCTTAAAGAAAATGAATGTTACAAACCCACTGGGTTTTTCACTAACCCGGGTGAAAGCCAAACACCTAATCTCCCTGCAGAAAGCAGTGGTCTCATTTCGGGGACTCAGCCCAGTTTTAGCCACGAAGAGGAACACAGCGTTGCTACCTGTGTACAAGAGTCGGCCTCTGCTGATGGAAGGATATTTGGTTACTATAGCACGAGGAAAGCCGATTCTGAGACTGAAACCCTGCAACTTAATCAAGTTGGTGACACAGGAAAGAAACCAGCGAGCTGGAGTCAGAGTGCTCGGAATCAGGGAATGAGAAAGCAGTTCACACAAAAGGTAGAACTTTTCAACACTTCCCATATGCCAGTGTTGGCTCAGGATATCCAACATGAACACAGTCATTTGGAAGGAACAGAAAATCATAGCATGGCTGGAGATAGTGGAATAGATTCCCCACGGTAAGTGTATGTAAATGTGTTTGATTAGCCACTATTCCTCAGGAATGATTAAAATCAACGGTGTATTGAATTACTTAGTGGGAGACTCCTGAACAAACTTTTTATAGCCATGTAATTCTGCCAGCCTCTACTGAATGAATGACACCAAATTATAATGAAATCTCTTCTATAATAGGAGAGAGTTCATTTTTAATGTGAACCAAAATTTACTACTACCAAATCTTGAATTATTTCTAAAAATAGGAAGGAGGTGCTATAAATGAAACACTTGCTCAACTGAGGGTTGGAAGTTTTCACTTATATTTTGGGTTCTACACCCGTTGAGAAAGAGCTGCAGCTACTTTCCACCAATTTTTTCCATGGGAATCTGTTTAAATAACATTGGTCAGATTATGAAAGTAATATGGTCATAATGGAATATTTGAGAAGTACTGAAAAGTGTTTCAAAAGATTTATCTATTTATTTGAGAGAGAGAGCGCGAGAGAGCATGCACGAGCAAGCACAGGTGAGGGGCAGAGGAAGAGAAATCCTCAAACAGATTTCCCACTGAGCCTGGAGCCCAACGTGGGGCTCAAACCCAGGACCCTGAGATCATGACCTCATCTGAACTCAAGAGTCAGATGCTTAACCGACTGAGCTACCCATGCACCCCAGTACTGAACACCTATATAATCACCCTACCATTTATTTTATTTTATTTAAAAAATATTTTATTTATTTATTTGAGAGAGCATAAGCAGGAAGGAGGGGGAGAAGCGGACTCCCCGCTTAGCAGGGAGCCCGATGTGGGACTCAATCCCAGGACCCAGGGATTATGACCTGAGCTAAATTAAAGGCAGACGCTTAATTGACTGAACCACCCAGGTGCTCCCACCCTGCCATTTACATATTTTTAATTTTAATTTTAATTTTTTAATTTTTATTTATTTTTATTTTTAAAAAGATTTTATTTGTTTATTTATTTGACAGAGAGAGAGACACACAGAAAGAGAGAGATCACAAGTAGGCAGGGAGGCAGGCAGAGAGAGAGGGAGAAGCTGGCTCTCCGCTGAGCAGAGACCCTGATGCGGGGCTCGATCCCAGGACCCCAAGACCATGACCCGAGCCGAAGGCAGAGGCTTAACCCGCTGAGCCACCCCGGCACCCCCATTTACATATTTTTAGAAAATTCTTTTATATTTGATATATTTATCTCACTTCAGTCTGAATATATTGATCTATATATTTTGTCTAAATGTTTTACCTGTACTGTACTTCCTATTTTGCATGGTGCTTTTTTCAAATAATAGTACATTGTGAACATTCCCCTCATATTCTTAAATAGTTTTCAAAAAGTTCATCTTAAAATTAGGGTGTATAACTTTACTCTTTTTTTTTTAAACGATTTTATTTATTTATTTATTTGACAGACAGAAATTACAAGCAGGCAGAGAGGCAGCCAGAGAGAGAGGGGGAGGCAGGCTCCCTGCTGAGCAGAGAGCCCGATGTGGGGCTCGATCCTAGGACCCTGAGACCATGACCTGAGCTGAAGGCAGAGGCTTTAACCCACTGAGCCACTCAGGTGCCCCTTTACTCTTTTTTTTAAATATTTTATTTATTTATTTGAGACAGAGAGTGAGAGAGAACACAAGCAGGGGAGAAGGAGAGGGAGAAGCAGACTCCCCACTGAGCAGGGAGCCCCATGTAGCTCCCTCCCAAGATCCTGGGATCATGACCCAAGCTGAAGGCAGACGCTTAACCAACTGAGCTACCGAGACGCCCCTACTAGTTTTTTATTATATAAAATTATCGTGTACTTTGTTTTGAAAAATTTAGTAATGCAGAAATGTAAAAGGTAAGGGAGCCTGGGTGTCTCAGTTAAGTGTCTGCCTTCGCTTAAGTCGTGGTCTCAGGGTCCTGGGATCAAGGTCTGTGGCAGGCTCCCTGCTCAGTGGAGAGTCTGCTTCTCCTCCCTCTGCCCCTCCCCTTGTTCATACATGCGGTCTCTCTCTCTCCTAAATAAATAAATCTTTAAAAAAAATGTAAAAGGTAAAAATGGGGGCAGCTGGTTGACTCAGGCAGTGAGTTTCCTCCTCTTTTGATTTTGGCTCAGGTCATGATCTCAGGGTCGTGGGATCAAGCCCTCTGTTGGGCTCCCTGCTCACCACATGATCTGCTTGAGAGTCTCCCTCTCCCTGCCCCTCCCTCAGCTGGCACACTCCCACTCTCTCTCTCTGTCTCTCTAAAATAATTAACTAATCTGTGAAATTAAAAGTAAAATTGGAAGTCTTCATCCCTCAATCTTTGCCATTGCCATTCTGTTGAGGTGACCTACACATTGTTTACAGTTTGGTTTGCTTATTTATTTATTTATTTTAAGATATTTTATTTGGGGCGCCTGGGTGGCTCAGTGGTTTAAGCCTCTGCCTTCAGCTCAGGTCATGGTCTCAAGGTCCTGGGATCGAGTCCCATATCGGGCTCTCTGCTCAGCAGGGAGACTCCTTCCCCCACCCCCTACCTGCCTCTCTGCCTACTTGTGATCTCTTTCTCTCTGTCAAATAAATAAATAAAACCTTTAAAATAAAATAAAATAAAATATTTTATTTATTTGAAGAGAGACTGCAAGAGAGAGACCATGAGCAGCGGGGAGTGGTATAGGGAGAGGCAGAAGCAGAGTTCCCACTGAAGAGGGAGTCTGACACGGGACTTTGTCCCAGGACCCTGGGATCATCACCTGAGTCAAAGGCAGATGCTTAACCGACTGAACCACCCAGGTGTCCCTGGAGGTCTGCATTTTTTTTTTTTTTTTTTTTTAGGCAGAGAGAGAGTGAGTATAAGCAGGGGAATGGCAGGCAGAGGGAGAAGCAGGCTCCCTGAGCAAGGAGCCCAATGTGGAGCAGATCCTAGGACCTTAGGATCATGACCCGAGCCAAAGGCAGCCACTTAACCAGCTGAGCCACCCAGGTTTCTCCTGGAGGTCTGCATTTTTAAAACATATCTTCAATTCTTTATTAGGGAACAGATCTTTCCTGCTTGAAACAATTGTTTAATTCATATCAAATCTTTAAAGTACCAAATCAAAACATATTGTCTCCAAAGTAAACAATCGTTGTGTAAATGAACAAGCTAAGGGTTCCCTTTCTCTCTGTCAACAGCAGAAATAAAAACCAAAATCAAACCCAAAACAGATAAGGGAAATTACTCATTGACATGCACCTGAGAATTTAGATTTGTGAAATCTAGAGAAAAACTTTTTTCTTTTTTTTAGAAAAGATTTTATTTATTGTTTAACAGAGAGAGAGAGGGAACACAAGCAGAAGGAGTGGGAGAGGGAGAAGCAGGCTTCCCGCTGAGCAGGGAGCCCAATTCAGGGCTCGATCCCAGGACCCTGGGATCATAACCTGACCCGAAGGCAGACACCCAACGACTGAGCGACTCAGGTGCCCCTAATTTCTTTTCTTTTTTTTTTTTTTTAACATTTTATTTATTTATTTATTTATTTGAGAGAGAGACAGAGAGAGTGAGAGAGCACAAGTGGAGTGAGGGGCAGAGGGAGAAGCAGACTCCCCACTGAGTGGGAGCCTGATGTGGGGCTTGATCCCAGGACTCCAGGATCATGATCTGAGCTGAAGGCAGATGCCAAATTGACTGAGCCACCAGGCACCCCAAGAAATTTGATTTTTTTTTAAAAGTTTTAGTTTATTTATTTGACAGAGAGAGATCACAGGTAGGCAGAGAGGCAGGCAGAGAGAGAGGGGGAAGCAGGCTCCATGCTGAGCAGAGAGCCTGATGCGGGGCTCGATTCCAGGACCCTGAGATCATGACCAGAGGCTTTAACCCACTGAGCCACCCAGGCGCCCCGAAATTTGATTTCTTGAAAATTGCTTTTAATATGGTTCTCTTGAAAGACTTATAAATATAATCATTAAAGACATGTAGGTGAGGGACGCCTGGGTGGCTCAGTTGGTTAAGCAGCTGCCTTCGGCTCAGGTCATGATCCCAGCGTCCTGGGATCGAGTCCCGCATCGGGCTCCTTGCTCGGCAGGGAGCCTGCTTCTCCCTCTGCCTCTGCCTGCCACTCTGTCTGCCTGTGCTCTCCCTCTCTCTCTCTCTCTGACAAATAAATGAATAAAATCTTAAAAAAAAAAAAAAGACATGTAGGAGAGAAGGGAGGGAAGATAGCACTTGCACATCATCTATGCGCCCTGTTACAAGAATTAGAGAGAAAGCGATGAACAAGTTGCTGCTGCTACTTATAGGAAGCTTATACCTTAGTTGGTAGACCAACAAACAACAAATTGAACTCAAAACAAAGCAGAGATGTGTCTGGCAGGCTCAGTCGGTAGAGCACATGACTGGATCTCAGGGATGTGAGCTGCATCCCGCATTGGGAGTAGAGTTTAAGGACAGAGGTGCCTGGGTCGTTCAGTCAGTTAAGCGATTGCCTTCAGCTCAGGTCGTGATCCCAGAGTGCCAGATCGACCCCCTACATTGGGCTCCTTGCTTGGCAGGGAAACTGCTTTTCCCTCCCCCTGCTTGTGCTCTCTCTCATGTGCATTCTTTCTCTCTTAAATAAAATCTTAAAAAAAAAAAAAGACAAAGCAGAAGGTCTTCACAGCTGCCAAAGAGATGTGGAATTAAGAGTGATGAGCTGTTTAGGGAACACTTACTGGAGGACACATATTTTTTTTTTTTTTTAAGATTTATTTGAGAAAGAGAGAGCACTGAGGGAGAGGAGAAGCAGATTCCCTGCTGAGCAGAGAGACCAATGTGGGGCTTGGTCCCAGGACTCTGAAATCATGACCTGAGCCAAAGGCAGATGCTTAACCGACTGAGGCACTCAGGCGCTCCAGGAGGACATATTTTTGAGGCATATCAATGTAACGAGCACGTGATAGACAGGAGACAAGGTGGGAAAAGGGGAATATCAAAAGCAAAATGCCCAAACAGTAATGTGCCTTGGCTGAAGCAAGACAGGTGTGTTAGATAAAGGACTAACTTAGCCTACAGCTCCTTGGAAAGGAACATTGTCAATGTGAAAAACTTTATGGTTGGCTTCTCTCTTTCATAGGACTTCTCAAAAAAGAAAAAAATTACACTTCAGTTGTATAGGAGAGGTTTTCAGGGAACGTATTGTTTCTTTTTTGTCTTTTTAAAAACAGTTTATTTATTTATTTATTTATTTAAGTAATCTCTACATCCAACTGGGGGTTGAACTCACAACCCTGAGGTCATGAGTTGCAGGCTTTTCTGACTGAGCCAGCTAGGTGCCCTGGGAACTTATTGTTTCTGACTAGAATATAATTGATACTGGATCTGAGGAAAGATGTTCTGAAAACATGAAACTTCTTGGTAAGCAGGTGTTAAATAATTGAGGTGCTATTGTGAAGTCTTTAAAATGTAAGGAGCACTTTAGATTTTTAAAGATTAACTTACCTAAGTGTAGCTTAGTGTTAGTAAATGTTATACTGCTTCAAAGTAACAAATGAAGGTATAATGCTTTGGTGAGAAATCCAGGCCCTTTTGGAAGATAATAATTGTGTTATTTTTAATACCTTAGGACACAGAGTCTGGCATCTAATAATTCAGTCGTTTTGGATGAACTCAAAAGAAGACAGAATTTTCTGCAGAACTTTGAAGGCACAAAGAGCGGTCAAACACTCACATCCAATTCCTTACTACAACTAACTCCAGTCATAAATGTTTAATTCTTATTTTTCTTTTGGATGATTTTTGATAAAAATGTACAGATTAATATAGAGTATTTTAATCTGCTGAGTATAGAAGAATTCTATAAAGCAAAGCATAGGTGCTGTTAATCTCATTACACATTTTGTTATAGTTGCTGGCTCCCTCCCCCCTTTTTTTGATGTTTTAAAGCTTTTTTTTAAAAGCTTATCTTACTATGAATTTATTGGGAATATATAGAATTTTCCTCAATTAAAAAACCATAAAATCCTTGGTCCTTTTCCAATTAAATATAATTAACTCAAATTTTCAGACGCTCATTAGTTTCTCAAATACATAGGGTGATAATTTACTATACCTAGTAGTGAATTTCTCTACCCATACTGATAGTGAGTTCTTAGGTTAAGATTCTCACAAGATTTCAGCACAGAAGTCCAGAAAATAGTGTGTTAGGGTTATATAGATCCTTTGTTTATAACTAATGTCTTTTATCATTATCAGAAAGTATTTATATAGATGTTTTGGGTACTCTGCAACAAAAATTTTTTCTATCCAATCATTGCCACCAAGGATCTTCTCTGCAACCACCTTGAACATGAACAGATGGCCCCAAATTATATTTACTGGCAGCATCTGGGTCTATTTTTCTGGTTCCTCCTCACATTTGAGGCACTCTCTATAGCATGGCGATGAGAAGTCAGGGTGTTCTCAGATTGGTGGAGATAGAAGGGAAGGAGAATGGTTGCAGAATGGTTTGTGAGAGGAGGTTCTGAATCAAAGATTTATAGAAAAAAATGGAAGAGGATGATAGTTTATTTACACTTGATCTATTTCCACTAAGACTTAGATAGCTTTGCTAGAATTTTTTTCTGGCTGGCCTTTTTAGACCAGGTAGTGGAATGGTCAGTTCTCTTGGGTCTGAGGAACAGGGAGCAGTCAAGACTGGTTTCAGCATATTGGATAGATGCTAATGCTGACTTATGGATAAGGGGGTTTCTTCTAAGAGGTTTCTAAGGATTGTCAGGGCCTTAGATCTCAAGCATGATTGAATAACTGGAGAGGGCCTCTTTTAATTCTCACCATCCTGATAACAGTGAAGGCAAGTTGAAGCTCAGCACTGTGGAGAGCTGCCTCCAGGGGCTGGTCGGGGGGGGGGGCGGGGGGTGTTGCAGAGGAGGGGAGATCAGATACACTGCTGGGTTTTGCAGTGGTTTGGCCCACTCGCTCCTGACTGTTGACTTTTAGTGGCTCTGCACAACCTACCATGGCATCCAAGAAGATCAGCTGTGGTCATAAGGACATTTGAAATCCTGGACAAAGTACCAAGAAGGGTAATCTGTATAGCAAAGGCTCATAGGGGAGACTTTGGTTTAGGGGGTCTTATAGCTCAGAATCATCATCAGTGAATGAAAGTTAGAAGATTTCAGCTCATTTAAAGAACTTTCCATTAGCCAAAACTATCCATAAATGAAACAGACACTTTTTAAAAAAATATTTTATTTGAGAGAGAGAGAGAGAGAGAGAGAGCGAGCGCGCAAGAGCATGAGAGGGGAGAAAGTCAGAGGGAGAAGCAGATTCCCCATGGAGCTGGGATCCCAATGCGGTACTCCATCCCCGGACTCCGGGATCATGACCCGAGCTGAAGGCAGTCGCCCAACCAACTGAGCCACCCAGGTGTCCTGAAATAGACACTTTTATAAATGATTGTACTTCCCATTATTGAGGGCATTCGGGCAGAGGCCTGGTGATCCTTTGATTGGTGTGTTGCAGAAGTATTTCCAGTACGTAACAGGATAGCTGAACTAGATGATTTTGAAGATTCTTTCCAATTGTAAGGTTTTATACTTATAAAATTCAGTGAGGGTTATATATCAAATATATTTCAAGGAAAAAAAAAGATTAAGTGAGGATCCTGCAAAGTACTAAATTCATGCAAGAATCGTAAGTTCTTCCAGTTTTCCATTCCTGTACCTCTCCTTGTCAGTCCTTGCAAAAAGGATTAACAACTCTGTCCATTCTTTGATTTTGGACCTGGACAAATTTCCTAATAGAGCGAGGAATCCAAAGTCTTTTGTGGCTCTAGTCACATGTAGGGAGCAATGAAATCCACCTAATTTTGCCACTAGATGCACTAGGACACTCCCTAAATGTATTAAATGAAGCCTATTATGAAACCAATAAAACTTGCCTTCTACAAAACACAACATATGATTACAGATATTAAAGATGGGTATATGTGTGAATTGTTTGGGAGATTACTCCTAAAATAAGTGACTTGTATTTTTACTCCCAATATTAATTTGTATGTGATAACATTAGTTCTTGATTTCTTGTCCCCATTGCCATCTATTCTCTAAGGCGAAAACTGTTTTCTTCAGGCAGGATGATGATCTGAATTTAGGAATCAGACAAGTTTGAATCCCAATTAAAATCATTGGGAGTTGTGTGATGGAGGAAATTTCCAAACTTCTTTCAGCTTTCTCATCTGTAAAAGGGAGATAAGTGATGATGTATCTACCTTACAGAACTGTTGTAAGATCTGAGGCTAATCTACTCAAGGTGCCCAATGCAGGAGGCACCTGATATCGTTATATATGTGTATATTTTTAATGTATTTATATATTCACAAAACTTGTCTGGTAGGTGAATACATGGCCTACTATACAGGTCCTGTTTTTGTTAGATTGTCTGTAATGCCTCCTTTTAGAGATTCAAGTCCTTTAGGTTAAGATTATAAGAAGTTTCATCGATTCAAATCCAGATTTGTCTGGGGAGGTATTGTACCTTGGCCAACAAGTTTTCAGGTAACATCTGATGCTATAATAGGAAAAAATATGTAAAGCATGGGCTTATTTTAGACATTTCATACATTCTGAGATTATCCTCTTTCATCTGGAATCCCAGACCCCTAGGAATACTCAGAGAGTAGCTGGGTATTTTCAATATTTCCATTTTCAATATTTCAAAAATTCCAAAAGAAATTGTATATTTACTTTTCTTAACTCCTTGCTAATTACAACATCGTTTCTTTGGCAGTGGCTGAAATTATACCAGCTCAGTAATACAACACCATCACAGGCTGGTGACATGCTAAGCTACATTTGTATCTTATTTATAGATTAGGAGAATGATCACAAGTCAATTACTAAATGCAATTTAGCAGACAAAGCTTTCAAAATGTCAGATCTGTGAGGGAAAAAAAAACAATGGCGAGAACAGTAGTAATGTTGAAAGTTGGGGACCACTACATTTTGAGAACCCATCCTATAGCTACCTGAGGCTTTTGGGGTATACGGAAAAAAGACTACTGCCAAAATGGACTGGGGGAAGAGAGACACTGAGTCATGAAACAAGAAAGAGGGAAACAAACTCATGACTACTTTGTTGGCCTCTACAAATCCTTCTCGCTTTTGAAACCTTAGAAACAGTCATTCCCTCTTTACGAGTAATAGCTTCCATTTCTTGGGTAATAGTGCCCTCTTTTGGGTAGCTGATGTGACTACTTTTCCAGCACTTGACTGAAAACATTTACAAAGTAATTGGCTAAAGAAAGAGTAAGACCCCTCTCCAAAGGTTATAGTTGAAAAGCTTTTTTTCCAGGGGCTCCTGGCCCACTGAATTGGTAGAGTGTGGGACTCTTAATCTTGGGGTTGTGAGTTCAAGCCTCACGTTGGGTAGAGAGATTATTTAAAAATAAAATCTTAAAAAAAAGTTTTTTTAAGTTTAAATTAGGAGCTACACATATACATAAATATACATTTGCTAAATGTGTTCAAAGCTGTGTCTTCTCCAAGGCTTTCAAAACCTGTCAAAACCTTGAGCTAAAGATAGAAATGTAAGCTGTTCTGTATATCATCTTTGCAGTATAGCTGCTCCTCCCAATTTCCCTGTACCATCAGAGCAGGGAAGGCACGTTTGTCCCTACATTATTAACAAAAAAGACCAGGTTTTAGAGTTGAGTTGGCTATGAGCCCGTGGCTAACCATGACAAAATATCCCTCCTGTTCCCTCTTCCATTTTCTTGTTACTTCTTAGTACTCTATTTCTTTTTTAAGATTTTATTTATTTGACAGACACAATGAGAGAGGGAACACAAGCAGGGGGAGTGGGAGAGGGAGAAGCAGGCTGCAGGGCTCAATCCCAGGATTTGGGATTATGACCTGAGCAGAAGGCAGACACTTAACGACTGAGCCACCAGGGACCCCAACTTCTTAGTACTCTAAACACTCATTCTATCCTCCAGTACCTTTTAAGCAATTTAAAATTGCTCCTTAAACTATTTCCATGCCATGGCATTTTAAAACAATAGTTTGATTCCTTTTGTCACATAAGATTGACATGCAGATGCAAAATGACTTTTTTAAAAAAATGTCTGCTTTTCTATAGAACAAAATATCTAGCTCTGTAGGTTTGAGAATGACCAGAGAGAGGCAAGTGTGTAGTCCTATTTTTATATCTTAAGGTCATAGAGTTTAAGGAGATAAAGCCAAAGGCAAGAGAAATCTTTATAGAATCTTGGAACAGAGCAATAGATAAGGCACCCCAACTCTTAAATTTTAAGAAATAAATTATATCCGTGACTCTGGTAAGATATTTTGGGGAATTAAGATTCTAAAAAGATTATATTTTGAATTTTTTGTACATTGAAATTATACTACTCCTTCATGTTCTTTCCATAGATATTATCAGATACAAATCTCTTTGAGTGTTGTAGAGGGAACAAATAGAAAGAAAAGTTCTCCATTCCCAAGTTTTCTAGTTGATATCCATGGAGAACAGGGAGTTACCCAAATTTGGTAGTACTCAAATTTTTTTCCACTAAGCCACAGCTTGAAGTTACTTATGGCTTGATTTAAGACAGCAGACAGAAGTTTGATTCAATGAGCTTGGGGTTTAGAAAGGCAGAGATTGTAGAGTGTACTAAATCACAGATCATTCTGAAAAACATTTAATATACTCGTTAGTATCTTGCATAGGGAGAATTAAACAGTCTAGTCCCTTCTATTTACACACCTGCTGTTTGACCTCCAAATGAATACCAATGTTTTAAAGGGGCTAAAAACTTTACTTCATCTGTATTTGATTTTCAACCACAACATACTAAAATCTATTCCTATTATCCCAGTTTTACAAATGTGACATTCTTTGCCACATCCACTCCTTTTTCCTATGTACATCATACTCTCTTGTAGGGCTTTTCAATGGTAGAACTGGGGTGGGTGTGAGGGAGTGGAAGAAAGGGATCTAGAAAAGCACAGATCGGGAGATGCATAGCGATTCTCATACTCTAGAGATAGAGTGCATTTTTCCCACTATTATTAGCTGACACTCCCTTTGTTCACAGTATTGAAT